ATTCCATGGCCATATGCATGCCATTAAACTACTTTAAACAATGTTCTCGTCAAATGAAAATGGGGGCTTACGGGATCACCTAATTTATGTGAATATACTTGGTTTATGAGAACACTTTTAGAGCAAAAATTAAATGGCCTACGTCTTTATGCACTAATTTGAATCAAATTTGTACATCTGTCTTGGATGATCATATAGGCATGGTGTTTTGGTTTGATTCATGGGTTCATGAATTTTCACATCGTGGCTTTAAGCTCTGCTCATTTGCTATTAATTTATTAATGGTATAACTCGGTGTTATTATTGTCACCAACCCATTTGTTAAGATTATTAAAATTATATTTTATTTTATTAATATTTGTAATTTTTTTAAATAAATACCTATGATGTTTAAAAATATTAGTATATAAATTGATTTTAATTTATTAAATAATAAATATTAACTGTTCTATTAGTTATTACTTGTTTTAAACAATTAAAATCAAACAAAAATCAATATTTTTTAACACAATTTTAATGGTTTAAAAAAAAATTAATAGCAATAGCTACACCCGAATATATAATATCCTTGCATTTCACATGTTGTTGCTTTTGATAAAAATCAACACTTATTTTCTGGTACTTTACTATTTATTTGCATTTTGGCTTTTGTCTGTTGGTCCTTGGATTTAAATTTAAATAACTTCCGATCATTTTTAGCTAATTGCTATTTTGTTTGTTGGTTTAAATCCTTTAAAACATACCCGTCTCTCTATAATAAAATTAAAAAACAAAAAAAAAAGATAAAAAAAATTAAAAAGAGGAAAAAATACTAAAAACATGAAATTTGAAAACTATTAAACACTTTCACAAAATGGTTTGCTTGTTTGCTTGCTTGTACATTTATTCCTTGATTTTTTTTTTTTTTGAGGATAATTTATTCCCTGATTTTAAAATATGCCATTGTGGTATTTACGAAATTTATGGAGTGCAAACTATTCTTTATATTGCACCATTCCTTGATTTGAAAGTGTATTATCGTGATATTTACGGAATTTGTGGAATGTGAACTATTCTTTATATTAGACTATATTTTCAGATTTTGAATCTCTTGTATATTAATAATGATTCATTTTATCATCAACGTCTTGAAAAAAAATATCCATAATTCTTTAAATTCTCTAATAATAATAATGATGATGATGATGATGATTCACTTTATCATTATTCAAATAGACGATGCTTCTAAAATTTTCGATCCTTACATAATTTTTAATTTTCATATTATTTAAATCTTGAGTGGGTGGTCTACTTCGTGGGTGGTCTACTCCATAAAAGATAAAGTAAATGTTTTCAAGTAAAAGACCAAAATCCAAGTTGCTAGTCAAGGTCTTTGCCTTTGTTGTTCACATTAAGTTATAAGTCAAGGTCTTTGCCTTTGTTGTTCACGTTAAGTTATAAGTCAAGGTCTTCGTCGTCCATAATACGAACAATATTTTCTTTAGTATTAAAAATAAAATTTAATAATTTTACAATTTATTTTGGTTGAACTATATAGTTTATTAATATGACCATTACTAAGTGTTTTCTTAGAAGTCCTTATTTAGGCCACCACATGGTCAAAATATTTAGGCGTGTCACTTTGAATGAAAAGGGGTTAATTCAATTTTTAGTCTATTAACTATCACCTTAATTTCATTTTAGTCTAGAAACTATGTTTTATTTCTAAGTGGTCTATTAACTTTCGGATTTATTTCAATTTGGTCTACCTGCTTATCTTTGACGGAAAACTTACTATTCTGTTAGAGAGCAGTTAGTCCTCTAACTATATTTGTTTTGATCTTTTAATCCTCAAATTTATATTTGCTGTAAAAACAGCTTTTATACTTAAAATTATTATTTTTAGGCTCTGATATTAGATTTTTATTCGGGTTTTCAAAACTTAATTTAGACTACTACTAACTAATGAATAACTGATAATATTCTAAAAATAGAAACAATTAATGAAAATACCTTAAAAAGAATTAAAGAAATGAGAAAATCTCTTTCTCAAGAATTTGATTCTATTAAAGAAAGAATAAATAATGTTAAAAACTCTAGAAAATTGAAAGAAATAAAAGAAGAAATAAGGTCTATTAAAGACATTAAAAGCAATCGCTAAAAAATTTGCAATCAAATCGTAAAAATGTATAACAAAATAATTCTACAACTAGAAAGTGATATAGATAAAAATTTTATAAGATCTAGACATAACTAGAAAGTGATTATTTTTGTTAGTAGTCTAGTAGATCTAATCCCACACTAACTAAGCTTAACATATCATCTATTCATTAGTTAGTAGTAGTCTGAATTAAGTTCTGAAAACCTGAATAAAAATTCGGTATCAGAGCCTAGAAATAATAATTTTAAGTATAAAAATTGTTTTTACAGTAAATATAAATTTGAGGACTAAAAGATCAAAATAAATATAGTTAGAGGACTAACTGTTCTCTAACAAATAGTAAGTTTTGCGTCAAAGATAACCAGATAATCAGGTAGATGAAATTGAAATGAATATGAAAGTTAATAGACCATTTAGAAATAAAATATAGTTTCTAGACTAAAATGAAATCAAGGTGATAGTTAATAGACTAAAAATTGAATTAAGCCAAATGAAAAGTAACAAAAGATTTTTCCTTTCCCTTTTTTTTTTTTTTACAACTCTCCTCCCCAGCAATAAATTTCCATATTGGATAATTGGAACTATTACATTTCACCAACAAGCTCATCCTCAATACTTTTTCGGACACATACATTTCTCATGGATACATGATATTTTTATTTAGGTGTTATATATGGTGTAAATATTATGCTATTATTAGCAAAAAAAAAAAAAAAAAGATTTTTCCTTTTTTTTTTTTTTTTTTTGACAACTCTCCTCCCAAGCAATAAATTTCCATATTGGATAATTGGAACGAATAGATTTCATCAACAAGCTCATCCTCGATACTTTTTTGTACACAT